GTAGAATTGAGCTTTGTTATAAAAAAGGTTTCAATGAGAGCTAAAATAGGTAATACCAAATACGATGATACATTAATTTACTAGTCCTTATGTAATTCCTTATGTTATTTTAATTGCTTACATATTTGAGCAGTACTATATTCTCTATCAGTCCATTCTCCTGGTCCAATACTAGTATATGCTCTCACTCCAATAGTATAACTAGTATTAGGTATCAAGCCTACTATTTCGTAATAAGTGTTAGTAGTGTTAGTTATATTGTATGGACCAGTACTGGTGGGCTCTCTATATCTTATCTCATATACTGTAATGATACCATTAGGTATTGTAGGAGGATTCCATACAATAGTTATTGCATCTGGGTCCCTTGCGTGTATTGGATTAGATATCACACCAGGAGCTGTGTTAAGATCATTAAACTGATCAATATTTCAGTGACTTACTTGATTCAGCAGTTAATTGTAATTCTTGTCTAGCTGGTCCAGTCATATTATAATTATAAGGTATTATACTCACAGTATAGTTAGTATATGGTATTAATCCTGTGAGATTATACATTCTGTTGTCTCCTCCAGTGATATTAAAAGTATAACTAGTGTTTGAAGTGATGTTAGTGTATGTGAGGTAGTATCCAGTGATTGGTCCATTCCTTCCATTGCAAGGTACTTCATCCCATGAGACAGTCATTGACACTGACTCTTCTGATGAGAATATAATATCACCCACTGGTGCAGTAGGGGCTATGAAGAAAGGAATAATACCAAGGAATAGTCAATTAAAAAAGGAATAATTTTACCAGTTAAAGTTGAATTTGCCAAATAATTAATAATCAAAAAATATATTTCAGATCCATACACTCCAATAAGATCAAAGCCACATTGACTGTAAGGAGGTATACCAGTTGAAGTATGTGGTGATGAAACTGATGTTTCACTACTACTAGTGACTGATGATTCACATACTCTCCTACAATCCCTAACAATATTATAACTAATTGGTACTACAGCAGTTGGTGGACTCCATGTTAATGTAATGGTAGTACTTGTAATTAATGTAGCTATAAAATCATTAACTACTGGATTACCTAATTGAAAACACAGAGTATGGTTAATAAAGATTATTTTAACTTACTAAATGTTAACGTAACTGAAGCATTACCACTAGGTAGAGAAGCTGATCCATAAGATACTACATAGAAAGTGTATGTAATCCCTCGAAACAATCCTGATGTTATATTGATTGTTGTTAAAGCAGTAGTGCCTGCACTAAAAGGAGTTAAAGTTGAGAATTTACTGTAGATCTCATAACCAGTAGCTCCTGATACAATAGACCAGGAGAGTCTTACATGAGCTAAACCAGTACTTAATCTTGTAGCAGTTAAACCAGTTGGAGCATCAGATACTGAGAATAAACCGTATATGGGATATATTTCACGGTGATTTAATTTCGCTAATGTAGCGGTTTTAAAAAATTTGAGAAAATTTTTATCTATGACAATTACTTTTTTTATCATTCTAATAGTGGTCAGTAGAAAAAAATGCAAAAATTTTTTGTGAATAAGTTGAAAGGTGATTTTAGTGAAATATTTGTCCCGGGGAAATATACCCCCTATACAGTAATTTAATGATATTACACAGATAATACTAATGACTAACCTGATATACTCAATGATGAAGTACTACTAACTGCATTGGGACCACTAATACCACTAATAGGGCCATTAGTTACTCTGTCATTAGATACAGTACACTGATAGTTACCAGCTTCAGTTAAGTTCACTACTGTCACTCTTGTAACAGATCCTAATCCATTCACTATCACACGAGACAGTTCAGTAGATATTCCATTCCCATTCACTGAACAACTGACAGTAGTAGGAGGACCATCAGAGACATTGAAACTGAGACTGAAGACTGGAGGAGTAGCTAATCTACTAGTGGAGAGGAGAGAGAACTGCATAGTAGGATCAGCATCAGGACCATCTGTAAAAGAAGTACATTAACTACAGTCTATATTCATCACATACCATTGTTATTGTATCCAGTATCAGTATATGCTCCAACCACTAGTGTTTGATTCACTCCATTCTCATCAGGAATGATACACTTGTATAAACCTTCATATCCAAAAAGAACACCTCTTCTAGCTAATGCAATCTGACCACTGAATCTCTTACTGAACAATGGACTAGGAGCTGATGGATCAATGAAGCTTCCATCAAATAAAGGTACTTCAGTTCCATTAGGATAATACCACACTCCAATATTAGTACCATTGTTAGCACTCTGACACCACAAAGCATCAATGATATTATTAGCATCATTATTCTGATCAACATTATAAAACTGGCTAGCATATATCATAGAGTAATCAGGTATTATCCTGTCCTCATAAGGTAGATACAATTGAACACCTGAATATGAGCATAGATCTACAAATTACCAAAATTAATTTTCTTACCATTACTGGGTAGGATGGAAGGTGCTTGTCCAGATACAGTCATCAGTTGAGCCAGCAGGAGCAATAGAAAACAAGACCTGCTCGAGAATGCCATTTTTCTTTTCAATGTAGATTTTATTGTTAAGCTAACAGAATCATGTGACCTTGTATTATCAGTTGTTGGCACAAAAGTGTATTTTACTATCTTAATTTAGATCTAATAAAAATAATGAATATTGTTATGAAGCCACGCCTAATCAATGAGCTACTCCCTCTTTAAGATTTGCAAAAGATGCTTGGCATGAAGATGTTCTTTTGTTGTGTAGAAAGTTTGAGATGATAGTTTTGATCAAGTTTAAATTTTTAAAGTTGTTCAAAAATCAGGTCAAAGTACACTTATGTATACAGACATTTTGAAGTGATAA